CTACCGCATGGAACTGGGGTGCAAAAACTGGCATGTTTTATTTCGGCTTTTGCCTGCTCTGGGTAATCTGGATCTTCTTCTTCCTTCCTGAGACCAAGGATCGAAGCTTTGCAGAGATCGATTACCTTTTCACGAAGAAGACGCCTGCCCGCCTGTTCCGCAATGCGCCAGTCGACTGTAAGTTTTATTACCCCTTTCCTTACCAATATTGACTCTGACTAACTCATCTTCTCAGTATTTGAAATCAATCCAGAGTACAAATCTCAAGAAAAGTCCAGCGAGTTTGAAGGACGCGTCCAACATATCGATGTTGTTAGCGATGCGAAGCATGCTGCTTAATAGATTGAGATGTTTGTTACTAGAAACGATCTAAATATTAGAGACTCAACTTATAATGCGAAAGAAGAGAATCCATTTGTTTTAATTCCCTGCAAGTTATGAAAAGACGCAATCACTCCAGTAGGCCCAATTAGTGACACGCATGTTATCCAATTAGGTCTGATCATAGTTCTAGTACGTCAATTAGAAACTAACTAGATACCAACCATATGTGTAGAAGACGTTGTGAGAAGGGAGTTTTGGTGTGGTCTTGGCAAGAGTAGGCGACTCGCTCGTGAGGTACATTGGCCATTCTTGTTGCGACCAACAACAAAATGCCGAAAGCCTGTGCGAGTCTATTTTAGGCATCAAGGTTTTGCTAAATCTCTACATATATATCAATATCGTATTTAGTGTAACTTACAATCAAGCGCCAAGTAGAGTGGCTGCCCATGAGATACAATACCATCTCACGTGCCAGCGAGGTTGCGGCGCAGTGCCTGGGCTAGTATTCTATCCCAAATACAACGACTTTGAAGTTTTGAATCAAAACACATGATAGTCTATAGCTACTTTTTCTAGGTTGTAATAAGGTTCAGTGAAGCAAGTCTCCGTATGTAAGGTAATGGAGTAAGGTATACTAAGTAGGGTAAGTTTGCATTGCGTTGTTCGACCTGTACGTACGTATGGTCATCATTGGCTGGCACGGTGGTTGTGTCCAATGCCATGTAGGTTGACTCAGGTGCTGAGGCTCAGGTAATTACCTCAGCCTTCTCGCAAATATTATTTATTATGCCAGCAATTCTTCTGGTCTCCTTTTCTTTCTCGTCCTATATTACCTCCGTTAACTAATCGAACACGACTATCGTTGTGGAAACACGCAATGGCAGACCCTCTCAGCATTGCGGGTCCGTAGTTGGTATCACTACAGCCGGTGTACAAGCCTCCATGAAGCTGTACGCCCTCGCAGAAAAGGTTGCGACAGCTAGCCAAATGATCACAAGCATCGGGGACGATATCAGCAGCACATGCGCCATCCTCAACCAAGTGCGCGAATTGATCATACCTCAGCCCGATGCGCAAGGCGTTCTCACGTCGGTTTTCAACTCTGTCGCTCTGAAGGACATCTCAGATGCTCTTCAACGTTGCAGGTCAGTTTTCACGGAGATTGGGACCCTGCTGCGTTGTGCATTCGAACAAGTGGGAAAGCGCCCTGCGTTGCACTCAAAAATCGAGCTATCCATGCTTGAAAAGGCAAAATGGCCGTTCTTGCAACCCCAATTCGATGATCTTCGCAGCAATCTCTGAGATGCAAAAGGCAATCTTGTTCTTATGATAGCTGTAGCTACCCTTGCCCTTGCGCAGAGGGACGGTCGTCAGCGACTGATCCACGAAACGGAGAGACTGGAACTTGGGTCTACTATTGTACAGCTGGAACAAGCGCGTAGAATCAAACCACATGAATCTACGGTACACACAGTCTCCGAACAGCCTCGAGGCATGCCTTCCTCGTCTGGGGAGGATCCATTGGGATCTCAAAGTACGCATTTAATGGAGGCATCCCCGCCCAGCTCAAAACAGAACACCGACCCAGGCTTAGTTTCCAGCGTGAGAAAACATGGAGTCCATTCGATCAGTAGCGGTGTTGGTCTGGTACGGTCTTCTTTGAAACTTCCTAGTAACGGGCGATTGCGAGATCAAAATATTCTTAACAGGTCGAGCCCGGCTGCCGAAGTAGAGGCAGGTACCCTGCCCAAGTCACTCCCAGATGCGCGATCCATCACACGTCCTAGTTGGGATCTACTCCATGAGCAAAATCCTTCGGAGCAGAAATTTCTTCAAAAGTCTGTGGCCTCAACGCCAGTTTCCAGGTCGGCTGGAACCACCCAACTTTCTAAGAATCGGCCACAGGAGAAAACCGCGTCAAAGAATCTTACCCTCACATCTTCCACCTCAAGTAACAGCGAGAAAACAAACCACTATCAGGGATGGTCTACAGACTATTTGCAAGGGCTTGCGACTGGATACGGAGATTCTGTTACTTTGACTAAGATGAAGCTCCCAGAACAGTCCCTCCAGAAACTGGTCAAGACATACTATGAGGAGGGTAACGATCCACACATTGGGACGCTCGAGCTCACGAAAGAGCAACAGGCCATCATCAAACAAAGCTGGTTGGAGCACTCCCAGGCTGAGCTAGTATATGTACACGTGCAACGCAACATCAGCATCTCAATGCTTAGTATGCCAAATACGCTGGAGATGGTGAAGTGGATCATCAATATTCAAGAATCTCATCAATCGCCTATTGGGATTGCAATAGGAAGCATGCCGCACATTCCACGCCCTCCTACCTCTATCCGTCGTACGAGCGCCATGAAGACCCTATTCATGAAACTTGTAGGTGGAAGACAAAAGAGTGCTGGAATCTACTTATCACCACCGGACAATGGTGAAACTCGAGTATACCCAGAAATTCCTGGCGATTCTCTCCGCAAACCTTCACTTGAAGGTACCCACAAGCTTTATAGATTGAGTGAATCAACTCAAAACAGCATTCTTGTACCTAGCATCAATACTGTGCCTATAAGCGCAGAGGAAAACCACAGCGAATCTTCACTGAACCTAATTGTGCCTTATGAAATGATGGAATTACCAATTTCTGCATACAAGGGAAGGATAATTCCTCCTAACCTACCACATCCTGAAGAGAATGGCGAAGACATCGTGAAGGAGCTTCTAGTCCTATGGATAGTCTCATAAGCTATCTCTTCTTCTCCTACTCTTACATAATCTCCATGCTTCCTTATGCTCTTGTATTTTCCATAGGAGTTCTTCCCTTCATATGCCGAGCGGTTGTAGTATGAGACGGTAGATATTGTAGTTACGCTATGTTTGCTTCGTTTCCAATCTCTTGGCCGTCCACAGACCCAATAAGTCAAGCGGCTCGTGTCAATTTTTCAATCTTCGGCTTCGCATTTTCATACCATAAATGGCTAGCTTTTGATTTTGTACATTGTTCAAAAAGCTTTGTGCGAGAAATTTGACGTACAAGGTGAAAGACTGAAGAAGCAACAGTAACCAAATCGTCACCGCTCTAAAACCAAGCAGTGCCAATTTATACATTTTTCTGATATAATTGCGGAGAGATGAGTGAATATATAGGCCTGACCAAAGCCTAGTCTGTACCTCACAATGCGTACTGTAGAGAGAAGTGTATTACTATGATCAAGATACCGAAACAGCCTCATCACTCTCCACAGCTTTAGTATGAAAGTAACAACAAGCTCAAGTCCAAGAACCACAATCAATCAGCATTTACACACAAGGAGATGTACTGAAGTTGCTAAATTATCAAAAGTCCTATCGACATTGTTGAATAATGAATGAGTGAAGACTGACCACAAGCTCAAAGATTTACGCCCAGCACCGAGAAAGATTCGCCACCACCTGAGCGCAGAGGTCCCTCTGCTCTCTCAACATGTTCGGATCATCAGAACAATCGACACTCAGACATTTGAGAACGGCCGGCATGTAAATTTCGCCGCAACGGTACCTTAGCCGAGGTACCCTGTCCAAGATGATACATTTCCGTGCTTTAAAAGGATTTATACTCTGGACTTTGTCTTCATCCATCGTTTGCCTCAATCAAATCTCCAATAACAACATACCCAGCGAGTATACGCCAAAACCATGTCTATATCTTCCCCGCGGATCCTTGCGCTTTGCTGGGTGATGGTATAAATCTAGTGTTATGTCCTGGCCCGCCATAGTTCTGGAGTGTGTATCTGCGCGTGCGGTCTTTGTTCCTTGGAAACCAATAGAGGAACGTCTTCTAGAAGGGTTCTTGTCGTAATATCGTTCGATAGAAAGTTTCCCGTTTTTTTCATTTTCCTCCAGTGGGTCTGGAAAGACCTGTGAGTGTAGAGAGGCCGATGAGTGTAGAGAGCCCGGTGGTAGTGGAGAAACCTCTTCGCCGCGTTGTGGTCTCTCATCTTGTGGATCTAGATCTGGATTTTCCGGCCCTGAAAAGCCATACCCTGATGTAGTGTCGCCAGGCAATTCAGTCTTCTTCTCGTTCAGGAAACCCTTTCCTCTGCCTCGTTATAATCATCGGTGTGTAATGTAGGCTTCTCCCCATGAACGAGTTGAGCCATGTTTCTGGCCCAGGCTCTGAAAAAGGCACTCCAGGCGACTTGCCTCAACAGGGCTTTCTCGGTCGCTCGCAGAAGGCGCACAAGAGAATCCGGCCCGTGGAGGATACCCACGTTCGTCAGGTGGATATCAGCATCCCCTCCACTCCTGGCCCAATTTTCAACGTCCTCTCTGCTAGAGAGCTGATCGAGCCGCACGATACGCCGCCGCGCCGTGTATGATAACCCAAAGTTAGTGTCTGCTGGTGTCTGTGAAGGCTGAGACTCCACTTGTCGTAGGTCTATGTAGAGTATGATGTAGCAAACCGCAACCCCAACACTGAACATGTCATAGCTTGCAAGATGCCGCGAGGTCTGGACCAACCTGTAGATGCATGCGGCGTGCCACAGACACTTCCTGGACTGCGCTTCATTGCGCTCTAAAAATTCCCTAAATTTCTTCTTGAAACCCGCCATCTGGGTTGTGTCAGTTCGCCAGCCAGTACCCGCAAACAAGGTCCGCAAGGAGATGGATCGGAGGATAGCCAGAACATGAGGGAGAGATTCATGGCAGCGCCCTGGCCCCCACTTCAAAAACGCGACATGGTCGATAGATTCATCCAGCAGTAAATTTTCAACACTAAAATCCTCGTTTTCGATGAAAGCATGTGGGACGGGAGCCTTGGGGATTCTTGGGCTCATGGCTCTAAGATGGGAGCCAAATGAGTTCATTACAAGTCTTGATGTGAGGCGTTGCCTTTTGATATTCTTCTCGTCGATGTACAGTGCTAGTAAGCTCATCCTCGACAAGAAGGGATCGTAATCTGCCTCAGGTGGTGGGACTTCATGGGATGCCCTTGAGTGTAATCGGACAGCTACACAAATTAGTCATGGCATGAGTCGTCCGAGTCCTGACACACCTTGAAAGCGTACTTGCTTCGACTTCCAGTCTTGGATGTCTGCGCAATACCACATGCGACTAGGACAGGGCATTTGCAGTGATATATCAAATAGACTGAAGTCAGTGGAAATGTCAGTGAAGAGAAAATGAATGCATTCGAGCACTGTGCCACGTTAGTAATGCTATATGCGCGCAAAGTAAAGTACCAGACTGACTATAGGTGCAGTAGATGAGGCGAGTGTCTTCTTCCGATGCAAGCCAGCCTGCCCACTCCTCACTGAGAGTAAGGGCGCTCTCCTGGGCTGTTTTCTCAGCGTCTCTTCGAAACACCATGTGATAGCACATGGAAATGAGCATGTGCCTTTGGTGGTGGAACAGAATCATATCCTTGTGCAAACCGCAGGATGAGAGGTGGATGTGGCGTAGGAAAGTGCTTTGTATGAGGGGCTTGCTTGGCCGTTCGATCTGAATCATGACCTGTAGAGGCTAGTCAGCAAATATTTATAAGAAGGGTAGGAGCGAGATGGCGAGGTACTTCATTGTCAACTGCCCTGCCGAGTAAGTCGCACAATATCGACGTGTAATCTTGTATACCGTCAAGTTCAGAGTAATAGCTTCCGATAGCCGCCGTCGCTAGGAGCAAGATCCAAGGTAGTCCTTCAGCTTCTAGGCGTGAAACATGCAAGAAGGGGAATTGAGGGTCGAAATATTCGAAGTAGAGATCGACAAAGGCTTGAACAAGGCGAATGGGAACGAAACTCGATGTACTGTCCTGGCATTGCGTTGCATAGAAGTTTTGTAAGTCTCCATATGCACGAAGGGGGACATTTTGGACGTGGCCAAATGCCTCCGCCTCGGCGGTCTGCATGTGATTGTGGTGCGTTTGTGGGAACCGCCGACATGGAGGCTTGCAGTGCAAACCAGAGCTGTTCATAGTTGAATACGTTAGATTTGTATCAGACGAATGGTCTGGCAAAGGATTGTTCAAACACTCGGTTGATAGAGTGGAAGTTCCTTGGCTTTGCACATAATAATCTGGGGGGTGGTTATGCGTCTCGACACCGCACTGCTGGTTGTGGTTTCCCATGTCATATGGAGTGTCAAGGACATCTCTCAGTCCCTCGGGTACCAGCCAGAATGGAAAGTAAGCTGTCATAGGATCCCAACCGGCTGCAAATTCGTTCATCACTGTGTCTCCATGGAGAGACAAAGAGGGATTCCATTGGTTGGATGTATGGAGAGCAGTGTCATTACCTAGCGATGAAGGTGTAAAAGTAGTGGGCGCAGGAATTGAGTGCATAGCCACAGTAGGAGAAAATGAAAAGCGGCCTTGGCTGTTACTGGTAGGGCTGCTGGTAGGGTCGTTGGTATTGTGATACAAAGCGGACTGCTCAGCGGCCTCCAGTGGTTGCCTATGCGTGACGTGAAGCCCGATTGATTGACTATTGACATTGTTAGGATGTGGATCAGGTGGAATCGAGCTGCTCATCACAGCATCAATGCGAGCAGCGGGTGTTTCGCTCCTTCGAGAGGAGGAATATGTGACATTTGCGGCCCTTCCTGGGCTATATGTGCACTTGGTTCCGGCTTGCTGGCAGCGTGCACATGGCAAGCCGCCCCGACAACGCTGCTTGAGTCGGGCACAGGAAAGACAAGCTTGGACACAGCGGCGCGGCATGCTGTGTATCTGATCTTCATTGTGGTGAATGCTACTGTGGCGCATGAGGGTGTCCCTACGACGAAGGTCCTGATTAGCGACATTCTGCGTCTACCCGGTCCTTCAATACTACACACGACGCACCTCCGAGCGAAGGACTTGGAGCAAACCTCGCATTGAAATGGCTTGACACCAGAATGCCTTCGCAGGTGACGGTCCCAGTGCTCTTTACGCAGGAACGTATCTCCGCAATGCTCACATGTGAGGTTTGCCGAGTCAGACGCCATTCTCAGCCGGTTCGACTTTGGGTGAGGAGGGAATGCGATGATTGGGACTGCACCGGCATCGATCCCGCACAAGCCGTCGCTGGAGCACGTGCCGGGACTTCCAAGTTGTCAGCTTTTCCAGTCCTAGGCATCTAGTGAATGGAAGGTATCGGTCGAGTTCGGGAGAGCGAGACAGGTGTGGACCCACCCCCACCGGGCCCTGTCGGCCCAAACGGGCCATCTGAGCCGTGCTCCACCACTTGAGGGCTATTAGCCCCTCGAGGCCACAACTCGTAACAAAATATCGGTCGAGTCTCCTCCACCGGGATCAGTAGGGAAAACACGTATGCACGAGCGTCTCAAAGCATTCCAATAACCCTCTAGTATGGCCCAATCGCATAAGGGCTTTGTTCACGAGCACTTCATCTCAGTACGTACGCGATGCTGTTGGACCTATTGCTATTCACTTGCTTCTGAACTTTACCGGCATCATCCAACTTGACTGTCCCGAATGTGTCCCGTATTCCCACAGCCGCAATGGGGCACGTAGGGAATTCTACTGACCATACAACCCTTGAATGGTTCGGTGAGTTCACCCTTATCTATCTATGCTCATGGATACTAACAATGTCCAGGCGCCACGACGTTTTGGCTTCGTACCAGGGACGTCACCATCTTCTTGGACACCTGGCTGGACAAGCCGTCCGTCCTGCCTAAGTACCTTGCAGTGGATGACGTAACAGAGGCAGACTACATCTTCATCTCCCATGCTCACTTTGACCAGTAAGTCGATGACCTCATGATCCACGAGACACAGCATGCTGACTACCTGGGAAGTCTGCCTGGAGCCGACCGCATCGCCATCAGAACCGGCGCTATTGTAATCGCCAACGGTAAAGCTATCCACTATCTTCGCAAAGCGGGTGTCCTAGAGGAGTAGCTCATTCCTGTGTCAGGCGGCGAGCGGATACCGCTTTTCACGCGCGCAGTTCGCTAGCAAGCACAACAGGATCCATCGCTACAGGCCAAAGGGCCCCCCGGCGCACCCATCTTCCCAGTGCATACGCTTGCTGCCCTTTCGATGCATGTATGGCCATCTCTGCATTGTCTGATGCCTGAAGACCACTTCCAGGTCATCGATACAGCAACGGTATACACTGGTTCAGCAACCCCATACACATGTTCCCTAGACATCACGTTTGGGATGAAGCATGGCCTATTGCGTCTTGGTGATCTTGTCCCACTCGTGAAGCTTCGCGATGGCCAATGCTCGTTCATAGAGTACATCGGTGACCGGGAACGTGATGTATTCTCACATTGTGATGGTGGTCAGTTAATGTTCAACTTCGTCATCGGAAAGAAGGCCGTTCTCTGAGTGCTCACCTTGGCGCTTACGATGGTGTTATGAGGGACATGCAGCCCAAGCCAGATGTCGCCATCTTGGCCATTGCTGGACGAGCCAACTTGAACGGACGACCATTTAATGGCTGATCGGCCCAGTTTGCTGTCAAGGAGGTTGGGTGGCTTGGAAATCCGCGGACGGTAATCTGGGCTCTTCATGATGATAGGCGTGTGATTGCCACTTGAGATATACCACCATTACGGAAACGACGTACTAACATGCCTGGATTAGCTGTATCCCCCCTTACCGAATTGAAACAGCAGCAGCTACTGTTGCAGTAGAGGAGTGTACTAAATTGAAGGTTTTAGATCTGAAGCATGCTGAGATGGCCGTGTTGGATTTGTAGGGTTTGGTGACAGTACAAGACTCCACCTGGAACTGTGGACACCGGAGATGAACACATGCATTCTGTATTACTCTCGAACCAGCCGAAAACTGACAGCTGAAATAAACGATTGAGGTACATACTTGTGTAGTACGCAGCACTTGCCCGATCGCCATTTCTCTATTCCGCTGTCTGCACTGAGTAATTTCATCCAATATCACTCTTCGGAAACACGAACCAACCGTGATATACCGGCTGCTCTTCCTCTTTCTGCAAGCACCTAAACAAAATCAAAGTATGGAAGGCTATGCGCGTGTTGTATGTCCCACACGGCTCCGCCGAAAAGGCCTGTCTGCTCTTCAATCTATGGACGTTCCTAGGCATCTACCCAAAACAGGAAAATTTCGCGAAGTTCGTATAACTATATACAAACATGAAATACCTCACATCTAGAATCATCCCAATTTGAAACTGTTCCAACCTGTCTTGAGCCTCTTCATTGCCCGTCAACATGTCTGCAACTGATGAAGTGACTGAATTCGAGCCAAAGCCAAACGAGCTTCGAGAAAAAGAAACGCCGACAACGAATACGCAGGAGACGAACAATGACACTGATGTCTTCCCCGAAGGTGGGCGAGAAGCTTGGCTTGTAGTCGTGGGTGCATGGTGTGCGCTGTTCTGCACCTTCGGCCTTGTGAGCTGTGGTGGAACATTTGTCGAGTACTATAAGAATGAGCCTCTGGCATCGTACAGCACTGGAACTATCAGTTGGATCACCAGCTCGCAGGTATTTATTCAGGTCGGTAGCATGGCTGTGGTACGTTTCTCCTTCCCTTCCATAGCTTTGCCTTCTCAGAGCCACCTACTCACGTACAATCACCACCAGTGGGGCCGCTTGTACGACTCGTACGGTCCGCGTTGGATGCTCCTCCTGAGCACTCCCGTGTACTGCTTCGGTCTCATGATGACCTCGCTATCGACCGAGTACTACCAGATCCTCCTCTCGCAGTCGGTCCTCAGCTCACTCGGGTCGGGTGCCCTCTTTAACGCCGGCATGACATCCACGACGTCGTGGTTCCTCCGTAGACGCGGCACTGTGTTCGGCATCGTCAACTCGGGCTCGTCACTCGGCGGCGTTGTCCTCCCCATCATGATTACACACCTATTTCGCTCCATTGGATTCGCCTGGACCCTTCGTGTTCTCGGTTTCTTCTTCCTGGCCCTGGGCACCATTACCTGTGTCACCGTCAAGACACGGCTGACGCCTACGCCGCGTCCCATCTCTCTCTCCGATTATGTCCGGCCGTTTCAAGAACGAACTGCTGTATTGACCATGCTCGGTGGATTTTTATACTTTTGGGGCATGTTTTTGCCTCTAAATTACATCATCGTCCAGGCACAGACGAACGGTATCTCACCATCCGTCACTCCTTACCTCCTCTCCATAATCAATGGGGTGAGCCTCATTGGTCGCCTATTTTGGGGTATTATGTGCGACCGGTTCGGGCGCTTCAACTGTATAGTCATCATCAACTGCTTTACGGGTATTGCAACATTAGCCCTATGGACTCCGGGAAGTAAGAACACAGCAGCCATCATTATGTACGCAGTTGCTTTTGGTTTTGGATCAGGGGGCTATGTCACACTGTTCCCGGCCTGCATGGCACAGATATCACCACAGGAGGAGATAGGCACGCGGATGGGTCTGGCTCAGCTCACCAATGCATTTGGTGCTTTAACAGGGTCTCCGCTTGGGGGTGCGTTGATCTCAGGTCACGGTGACACAACCAACTTTCTTGGCCTACAAGCGTTTTGTGGTGTTGCTATGATAGCATCCGTCGTCGCCCTGGGATTGGCGCGTTATACCCAGGCTGGCCTGAAGTTGGTGAAGGTATAAGCTTGGGGCCAGTAGCTACACAGTGCTACTGCTGAACAAGACATGGGGCCCTGCTCAAATGAACAGAATCTGAGCCCTGAGAACACATGGTGGGTAGATACGGAACTCTTTCGTGATATCTCTTTCATAGCAACCCAACTTTTAAGCAAATAACTCCGCTATGCACAGTACATAAGACAGGTTGAAGCATATTTTATGAGATAGATATGAACCTATGCATGAATGCAAGTATTTGAAGCGCCTGATAACGATCGGGTCGGGGTGTGTATGAAAAATTCCAAACATAACCTGCTGCTAAAGGTGTACCAATATGTGCAAAGTTTATAGTTTCTAACATACACTGTCACCGTCAAACAGAACATTATTACATAGAAGAAACATCAAAGCCACATCTACTGAAGAATGCTCAGTTACTTTCCCTTTGCCCATAAATCTTCTGATACTCCAAAGTTGTGTGTCGTCGCTACTGAAAAAACGAGGCTAAGGAAGTTCAGGAGCGTCATCATGAGGCTCCCAACCCAACCTTCGAGCGACCTGCACGACTGCACCTACTACTCCCAGCAGTAGGCAAACACCGAGAGCAACAATTTTACCTTTAGTGGTGTCGAGGTCTGGCAACTGCATACGTCATTCAGTCAGTATGGCCGCAAAAAAAAGGCATCGAATGAAACAGGTAACGTACAGTTTGCTGAGCGCTCGTCTTGACCCAAGCCATAGCTCGGGGAATCATGGCATTCTCATATATGGCCAACTGAGTTTGCGCTCCCTCGTTTGTGACTTGACCGCGTGCCATTTTCTGCCGTGCCAGTTCTAGTAGAGGCTCCAGAATGTCGGCTGTATCACGTAAGGCATTGTTGGCACCCATGCCTCGTGTCGGGAGCATTGGGTGGAATGAATCACCCATGAGCCAAACCCGCGGATGGGCTATTTCTGGGTCGGATGCATGCACCTTGTCTGTCCGTGTCCGCCGCCGCCAATCCACGGGTGTGTCCTTTGCTTGCCGTAGGGGAACGGCTTGAAGCGCATCGGGCGCCATGGCGTCAATAAGCTTCATGAGTTCTGGGTGCCACTTGGCTTCTACCATCTGTTGTCGCATGTAACCTTTGGGGTCGGCTAGCTTGACAACCTCGCGCGGAGAAAGGCCCCCATCCCAACTGAAGGCCACCATGAGCGATGCCTGTGCCTCGTCGTATTCGCTTGGTTCATTTCCACTTAGATCTAACTGATTCGAAGACTTCTGCTGGCGCAATTTCATGCTGTCGGGAAGGTAGAGGGCAGCAAATAGTTTGCATCTTTGGCCCGCGGTATATATCGTGCCTTTTTCCACCAATCCACGTGGCAGATCGCGGAGGACAGTCCGTGAGACGTGACACTTCCCTAGAACGCCACCGGTATCCGTCTTCGGGGGATCGACTATGTTGTTGCAGCCGAGCTGTTTGTTGATACGACTTCCGCTGCCTTCGGCCGAGATCAGGATGTCACAATCCGCATTCGAACCATCGGAGAAATGAGCTCTGATCTTCTCGTGCGACACATCTTCAAGCTTGATGACTTCGTACTTCACAAAGGTCTTGCCGTAGTGTATGATGTTCTGCTTCAAGAGCGGTGCCTGCAATAGATTGCGCAGGCGAGCCCGTCCAATCGGTGCCGACTTCTGGTACACTGGGAACTTGCTAAGATCTAACACAAGCTTCATGTTGGTGTCGAAAATGGCTGGTGCAGAAGATACAACACCTCCGGATCGACCGAAGCAATGAAGTAGATCCGTGTATTGGGGTTCTGACAGGCATGCTCGAAGTCCAATAAGCGCATATGAGCCTAGGCGAATCTGGTAGCCATCCCGGCCAGAATCTCGCTCGTCTCTCTCATAGATAGCGACATTCACATAATCTTTTGCCTCGTTAAGAATACCATTGGCCAGACAGCTTCCAGCAAGCCCTCCCCCGATTATGATGACATCCAGAGCAGCCATCGATGCTGTGAGTTGTGAAGCGTGATAAAGGAAAGTTGGGGATGAGACTGATGTTCTCAGCTTCTTAGTTCGTCGTGCGGCATGTTCTCATTACTTGATACGAAGCTTTTATGGTCAAAGCCGATTGCATGGTCATCTGTGTCCCACCGGGTAGCATATAGGTTCAGGTACGGATCTATAAGCCGGTGGCTCGAAGTAGCTTAGCCCTCCGCCGGCTCCACCGGTACTTTATTCCGAATTTGCGGGACATTGATGCAGGGGATAAGTATGCTTTTCTTTCTGTAAACGTAGACGTTGACTAGGCTTCAGTCGTGCGGAATCTTGATAATGGTAAACAGTAGTTAGGTAGAGTCGCATTTGAGGACACTGCATTTGGAAAAAGACGGTATTGTGTTGCGTTTGTTGAATGTTTCCGGAGATACTGGAGCTCACGTGACGTCGTGCTAAGACACCTTCCCAATCAAGCATGGGGCACGTAGAACCGAAATCTCTGGTAACGCCACGAGTTCTCGATATCGGATTGGTCTACTCAATACATCCTCATCAAGCTACTCTCTCGACTCTTCGCTGTTCAGAAACATAAAGTTAGACTTTGAGGTGGAGCGGTGTGTTGTCAACGCTTTGTAGTGCGGCACAGCTCATTACTGTTACAAGCAACAACGGAAAGAATTCTCTTCCTAGTAATAACGTACCTCACGGGTTCGTGTCACACACGGGTTCGTGTCACAGTTTTGCCAAGCCCCCACCAAAACC